GGATAGCGATTTCTTTTAGGATTATATAAATAATAATTATTAGTTTTTATAGTTAAAGTAATTCGAAATAATAGAATGCTATTTGTAGATCAATATATTTCGAATTAAAATAAAATATATAAGAAAAAGATTTATATTTCAACTTTTTGAAGGATTATATATACAAATTGTTTTTTTATATTATATTTATAAAAAAGCTATAATTGAATATAGAATATTGGAAAAAAAGGATTATAGGAGTTATAGATTTACAAAAAATATTAAGGAAAATCTTTGAAAAAAATATATTTATTGATATAGCTATAATATAAAGCTTTGAGGAAGATATTTATTGAATATAATGTATTCCAAAAGAATATAAATATAAAAATATCAAACAGATCTTTATTTTGAATCAACAATATAGATATAGATAATTCTTTAGAGAAATATATTTAAAGGAATATTCTGAATTATATATTAAATATTCAATTAAATCTCTAAAGGAGAAAAAAAAGGTTATTAAGGATTTAAAATATTTAAATGAAAGATATAATTGATTTTATAATTTAGCTTTTAAAAATTCTAAACAATATAAAGAGAGAGTTTATAATTTAAAGAGTTCTAAAAAGCCTAATCCTATTTCTAATAAAAAGATTTATAAATAAAATGTTATATATAAGAGAGGGAATCGAAATAAAGGGAGAATAGATTAATATCACTTTTTTAAAGGTTTTTTTAGAATCTTTACTTGAATTATAATTACAAAAACTTAAAAAGAATAATCAATCTAATATTTACTTAATATTAAATAATACATCAACATATAAGACTTTCTATATTAAAAAATTCCTAAAAAAAAAAAAAAGATTAGATATACAAATTAATTATTCCAATCTCTCGATATAAATATTATAAAACATATATAGAAATATATAAGATAGAAAATTAGAAAAAGAAAAATTTTAAGTACTTATTCATCAACTATAAAAGAAATATATATAGCTTGAAAAAAGAAATAATTTAAAATCCCTCAAAAGATTATTGATAATGCTATTACTCATATTATAAAAATATATAATCTTATTATAAAAAACAATAAAAATAACAACTTTTACAATTAATTAATAATCTAAAAATAATATTATTATTTATATTATAAAATTTTAATAATAAATATACTTTAATAAATAATATATTACTATATGAATTTATATAAAAAGTTGTTATTAAATAAAGATGGTGTATAGGTCCGGTAATTATCAAAGATATGCTCTCGTAGAGGGAAGTCTGGGTCTTCTTTCAGTTCATGGGCTTGATAACTGACGCCGAGAAAGCTTTCATATGTCTTCAAACCCACACCGTGATACGACCGTAGATCCCACCTTTCCATTGGGAAATTGTTTCACGTGGGTGAGTGGGATGTAGTTTAGTTTAAAAATCTTTCATTGTAGAAATTTTGTTGCACTGACAGTGAAAGCGGACGAGGTGAAATTGGCAACGATATAATAATGGATAGGAAGCTGCTAGCGAGACTGACAAAGCGACGAAAAGTGAAAAGCGCTATTCCAGTAATCACTTATGAGCATTCTCACAGATGCTGAGCACAAGTTCCGTGCTATGGAACCCTATCGATTCAGTCTCAAGACAAGGTCAACCTACATACAGGATAGGAAGGAAAGCCAATGTATATCTTTTATAGCTGGAGATATATTCGGTCAGCACAGTATACATTCTGCTCCCTCCCGTTATCTTATCCTCACCACTCAAACTAGTAATTGCTCGTATGTTTTTGCACATGGTATATCCAAACTTTGAAAGGCCTTATAAAAACCGTCTAGCCCCCTTCCGTCCAATCCTCACGCTTTTAACACTCCGTCAGAATTTGTAGACAAGCGCCTACTTCATATATCAAGAATGGTAAATAGGTAAAATCCTCAATGCATTAGATTGGACTATACCAAAACGAACTCTGAAATCCCCGTTTGTTTTGAAGTAAAAATCTCTAATTTGACAAAAATAGAAAAACAACCTATTTGATAACAAGCATAGATTATGATGATAGTAGAAAGGTATCTCGATAAGAGTCTAGAGCCGTTGCAGCCCCAATACTCCTCTAAATGAAGAGGAAGCAAAACTTATACGACCCCAATAGCAACGCAAACGAGTACACACTTGACAATGATCAAAACTTTATACGGGTAGGAGATATGGCGGTTAGGAGAGTCATACTGAACTTAAAGTAGTGACAATAATGAAAACGCATGTTTGTCAACAATCGATAAAAATTGTACGTCCCTTTGGCAAGCGAGTCGTGAGTTTGATTGTTCAGAACATCTCGGAGAACAGGTCATTTTCCCACACCACTTTTTCCATTTTGACGAGCTAAGAAAGCGTTGCATAGCAAGTAATAGAGGTAGAAGAGGACAGACAGAATTGATTCTTTTATACTGGCTCCAGAACATAACATTCCTTAATCCAAGTAGAAGGCGTTCTCATTATGAACTACCAGCTGGAAGAAATCACAGAAACCATATGTACCATGCGTTTCCATTCCAGAAGATCCCTCGATCTTATTCCTATAAGTACAATGATGTAGATTCCAAACCACATCACGCCAATTTTCACTCCGCCGTCATCCCCACCCCTTCACCATCTTCCTTCTCACTCTCCCTAAGCCTCTCCTTTTCCCTCTGCTCCTCCTGCTCCTCCTTCCAATTCTTTTCATCTCCTATTCTCCTCAGAATTCTAATCCTCCCTTCCATCCTGGGACCTATCCACCACCCACCAGTTACTAATCTCCCTGCATCCCTGAGCAAATTATATGTCCCAAATTTGTTCATTTCTTCAAACATCAATTTCGTCTTGAGATCAAGAAACCCGTTCCCTTCTCTGCCTCCTTTAACATTTTGCGTCCCATCTTGCTCTATACTCTTAACATCCTCAGCACTAGGGGCTTCTCCTTCTTTCCTAACAGTGATATTATTCGCCCTATAAACCCCTTCTAGCCTCTCCGAGAAACTACTTCCATCCCCTGGCCTTAGAATCTCAATACCTGCATACGCAAACACCGTATCCAGAACGTCCCATTTGCCGATCGCCAAACCAGGTTCTTCCATCAACGCATAATCAAACTTCATCCAGAAAGCTGCTTCTCCCAATTCCGGAGAATCTTCTGTTTTATCGTAGTTCAGTGTGATGTTTTGATTTTGTGGAAAACGTAGAGGAAGAGATGGGTATTGTTGGAAACGGGTAATTCCTGTCATGCAAGACAGAACATCCATGTGGATTGAAATATTTCGCTCTTGCGTGCGTTGTGTACGAGGAGATCTTGAGAGATCCTTGAGGATATGGGTATGAAGCTGGGAAAGGGCGTCTCCGCCTGGATAATTGAGGGAAGATATCATGAGGATAGCCGAGGAAGCCACAAAACTCAATGCAACGGATCCAAGCAAAGCCAAAGACCCAAAGGTATAAAGCCAGCTTTTCGAACGACGAGTCCAGATATATGAAGCCGAGAGAGAAGCTGCAGCAGTAAGAGGTGGAACAACATAGATGATGAACCTGGACTCTTTATGAGGTTGTAGACTATAGATTGCAACGAATAAAAGCGAAGGAACAATTAAATCTTTCGAGGTGTGCTTCGTGGCTGGAAGAGTCAAAGCCAGAGGATGTAATAGCAATATAATCAAAGGATTCATCAGCAAACGCGGCAACAACGAGGTAAAATAATGTACAAAGGGAGAAGTACCCCACTCAGAAGACTTCCCCTGAATAGCGTTGAAATAAAATCCGGCTAATTCTGGCCACAATGGCTTTTGCCAAAAGTATGAATCGATGGGTACTGATACAGCAAGAGCTAAAATAGCACTCTGTATGCCAGCCGGAATGATTGTCTTTAACGATATCCTCGATAACACAAGTAGATACGCCAATTGCGTGAAGAGTAACAGAGCAATTTCAGACCTGAATACTACACCCGCAAAGACGAAGAGCAATATTCCAACTCTGGGTCTACTTCCTCCTGTCGCTGGAAGAAACTCCGTGAATGCCAAAGTTGCTATGTATAAATCAGTATTTTAAAAGATCCATCGTCAAGACCCGAAAGATGCAGAACTCACTAAGACCAAAAGCAAACATATTCGGCAAAGTCCTCGACGCATAATAAAGCACATGGAACTGTGTAACTTGCAGTGCCATATACCATCTCCCAACATCCACTCCGAAAGCCCCGGTCAACCCATTTCGATATCTAATCAAACATGCCGCATTGAATAACCCCAACACACCTCTAACAATAACCTGTGCATACTTTCCTTGCGTAAGCAGTATGACGGGTTTAGAGATTGCAGCCAGAGAAAGTGCTCCGAAGAAGGTCCTCGGTACAGCCCCAGAAAAGGTGGTATGGTCGTAGGTATCTAGAGTAGAAGAAATATTTGAGATAGGAAGGCCATAGTTTAGAATATCGTGAGTGGCTTGGATGTTGAAAGATTCTTCGACTTTGGTGTAGGGAGCTACGAGGAGGTGGACGAGGATTAGGGTAGGGAGGGAGAGGGTTAGAAGGATATCTAATGGAAGTTGGTTAGTAAATTAGATTTAGAACAGAAAGAGAAGCACGATGAGCGTACCTATTCCCTTCATTTCAAATATCTTTCAAAGAATATGTGCAAGTGAAGAACGAGGCTGTAACTTAAGTGCTACGAGAGCTCCAAAAGAGGAGCAAGCTTCACCCACTCAACTTTCTTCTACAAGATATATCTTTTGAGAACTTGTCCAGCGAAAGTCAATATTTACAAATTCAGGAAACCCATAATAGTAAGATACCTCAACTCTTAATGAATCATGTCAATTCGAAAATCACCAGAAAGAAACAAGATATCAACAAATAATCCCCCAACATCACAAAAACTACAATTCAAGAGCCACGCAGCCTCAGCCTCGCCTGGCCTGTGCACGATTCCGAGCTTGTGTGGACAACTTCACCTCTTCATTTGCACAGCCTTGTCTGCATCTAACCACCTCCTCGACTTATAACAGCTCAAACAACACAATCGCACCTCAGCACAAATCACAAAATCCCTCACAATGTTTTTCATATTCGGAAATCTGATCTATAGTATGTGTTCCGATTGCCCCCCATCAATCCCCGACGCGCGCGCATATACATATATACAGAGCCGTACTCTTTGTCTAGACACATGCGCATGCGATGCGTAATATACTTCGAAGCATTGCGTATTATACACAATCACATACTGATGTATTTTCCTCCTCTTTAGTCATTGTTCTTCTCACCAATGCCGTCGCAATCTTATCCGAAGATCGTTTCCTCGCACGCAGTTAGTTTTCCCCTTCCCTCCACCTTATTCCCAAATCCAATCCCATCATTCTGAAACTTCCATCTCATCTACCCTAAGACCCTCGGCCACTGTTCCCTCCACTAACTAAATAAATAGTCGGATGGTCCAACTCCGTTGCCGAACCAGCCTTTGGCGGAAACAGCGCAGACACGAGTATCAAATCAAAACTTGTGAATTTGATGACGAGTGTTAGGACGCTCATGAGGAGTATGTTTTATTTTTCTTTCCCTCTCAATCTCGTTGTTGTGACACTGCGCTCTTGTGAATTCGGGGAGGGCCAGAGTGTGGCAGGATTTGGAGGGGGCGCAGAGGGAAGGGCAGGAAGTTGCGTGGAGAGTACGCGGAGGAGAGAGATCGATACAAGGGGGGTAGGACTTGAAGGGCCAAGACAACGAAGAAAAGAGAAGAGAGACACACAAATCACCAAGTAAACAAAACTAACATACCCACACAGTCCCCCTAATAGGCATCAATTCCGTAATCATCATCTACGAATTAGCCCTAGGATGATTCAATTCGAGTTCGAATTCACAAATCCAGAATTCTATTCTAGACAAGCCGCCACAACCCAATGCGCGTGCTAAAGACATGGATATGAAGGACGGACATCAAGGGAAACACAGTGCAATAAAAAGTAAATGATTGCGCATCGAGGATGGAGTACTGGACATCAAGTGTAATAATAAAAGGTACTTCTTGAGAATCTCAGACGAAAAAGTGATCCCTTTACCGACCAAGATAGGGGCAGTCAAAGAAAAAAGAGAGAAAGGATTCAAAAGCGCGTATACCACAGAACAGCACTGAACAGAATATGATTGGCGTTTTATGTAATTATGAATTTAGTCAGGCTAGAGGAGAAACGGGGGAGTTCGAGGATCAGAAGGAAAGGGATATTTTAAGAGATATCACAGTTTCATCAAGCACCCTCTATAATTTCCATTTCATGATATTCAATATCTCATTTTAAATCCTCGACCACCTGCTATTGACAAACCGTACATGGACTAGCCACATATCCAACCCACGCCTCTCCAAAAACTTTATAGTATATGTATAACAGATAGGTATGGTATATGAGGTATATGAGGATCAAAAGAATATACAAGTATCATAGGCAACAAATCCACACATTCTTTTTCCCACCCATTCCATTTCCTATTTCACCCAAAACCCCCTTTCCCATGCTCGCCATCCTATCCATAGCATGCGTGCACAAATACGTGCAGACACGCAAGCAAGCATATAAAAGTGTAAATAAGACAAAGTTCAATATCAACCATGCGTCCATGCGAATATGTTCCCGCACTTAATATCCATACCAATTCCCAATCGCAATTCTCACATGGGACTCAAATATTTCTTTCTCGACATTTCTCAATCGACATCAAGAAAAGCAACCTAGCCCCGACCCCGACCCCTTGCGCCTCTCCCTCATCTCCTTGATCTCTCTCTTCTCATCATCCCCTGCAAAAATGTCAGATAGATACATCCTAATTATCCACAGTCGGACTCCACATATTACTCTTCTTCCGTCCCAATCCAAACGAAAATCGTGCATTTTTAACCTTCTCATGTCTCTCCGGTGTTTGCGGGCCCGCCGTTCCTTCAACCGCCGTATTGTTGCTCGATTCGGGTATACTGTTACTTTCTTCACTCTTTTCCCCATTCTTCTCCTTTTCCTTCTCTCCATTCTTACTTAAAAACCCAAAACTCTTTCTACTCATACTCTTACTTCCCTTATGACTTCTATTCAGATTTAAACTACCAAATCCCTTAACATCACTCTTCTCGCTGCCATTCCCATTATTTTCCTTTTGGATGCCAGCTTCCGATTGTCGTCTTTTTATTTCCTGAATTTCCGTTTGTTTGCTGAGAGCAATAGCCTTTTTCGTTTCCGCTTCTTGTGCTACTTTATTGGCTTTCTCGGCTTCTTTGGTTGCCTTTTCAGCTTCCTTTCTCTCTTTAGCAGCAGCCTTTTCAGCGGCTTTTTCAGCAGCCTTTCGAGACTTTTCCGCTTTCTCAGCTTCTTTCTCAGCCTTCTTTTCTCGCCCCTTTTCTTCTTTAGATTTTGACTTGAAGGTATCGAGAGGTGAAGAAGGAACTCGAGTTGGAACCGGATTGCCCGAAATAGGGGAAGTTACCAGAGGCGCCGTTAATGCATGGTCGAGGGATCCAAACCCATTAGTGTCGCCATCGATTGGCGTGCTAGGTGTTGCTAAAACCTGTTTCGAGTTGGAAGATAGAGAAGTGCCGTTTTGTTGAACCTGCCCCGATGAGATATCTGCCACTTCAGAAGCGGTAGCAATTAGATCGAGACCTTCAGCTTCTTGATCTCTTCGCATTGCCTCCACTGTAGTTTCTCGGTAAAATAACACATAGGCGCAGGCTTGTCCTGGTTTATCCCCAAAGAATTGTCGCACAAAACTTTTATCTACCGGTTCTACCATCTCGTCGTCAAAAAGTAACCAACCTCTATCCTCAGTCTTGATTACCGCGACATAATGTCCGTGAAAGGCGTTTGTGCCAATATGTACAACCACGGCGTAAAGTTCATACAGTCGATCAGGATCCTCCGCATCATCAGTTGTGTTGAACATGCGTAAATGATATGGATAGTTGACAGTGTAGAATAACTTTTGTAATCGGGTCAAATCATCAGTCCACTTGAATCTCTTCAGGTGAAGCACTAAAACTTTTGGTAAAGTTTTGATCTTCATACGTTTTTCCGCTTCCTGTAAACCACCGCAGGTATCGCAATGGAATTTATTCTTCTCGCATAGCATTTCCTCCGCCGAAAACTTTTGCAAACAAGATGTAACAGAAGAATTCTTCTCCAAATCAATTGAAAGGTCCAGGAATGTCTCATCGCGCTGTGATGTAGTTTCGCATGTCAAGCACTTCGTTTCCGAGACCATCTTTCCCTCAAATATATCATGAACCCATTTCGTTCCTGGAGATTGCGCTCCACTTGCCAAGCCCATGGAATCCGCAACTGATCGTACAGCAGCTGTCATTGAATCATTAAGTCCTCCCTTTTCTTGAAGTAGCGATTCCTTCAGGCGTCGAGCATTGTCTTCGACGTTATTGATAACTGCGTTAAGCATCAATCCATAAAATTCGTGAGCATCTTGGTGCATCGATGTCCGAAACATCTCATTATCTCTTCTGAAAACTTCCAAGAATCTTTGGGGGCTTACAACACCTGTCCGAGAAGGATGTGATATCATAGCCGTAAATATATCCTTCAAGGCTGTAAAAGTCGTTTCCTCCATGCCATATGAACTCGCATGTTCCGTGGTAATTTCTAATATCGGGCCTGCCATCATCGCATGCTTCTTCTTGTATTCAGGCGAATCTGGCTTGTCTTCTGGTCGAGTACCCGGTGCGCCAGGTCCGGGCTGGCCAGAGTTCACAACTTGTCTTCTTTTGAGGGCTTCGGCAGCCGACATGCCTTTTGGTTTGGCCGTCGACAATGGCACTCCATTTGGTGGCGGAGCTCTCGTTGGAACGATTAATTTTGGTAAATGTCCATTGGGGGTATCAGAAGGGGAATGCGGTGGGTATTTAACAACATTTTCTCTAAACGGGACTGAATAGTATAGCGCCTGTAAAATCGAATTGGCATAACTGAGATGCGTTAGTATGATTGGGATAGGATCAATTTCAAAAAACGAACCATGTATTTCCGAACTGATTTTAAGAAGTTAGTATGAAGCAATTGGGAATAGATTTGAGGAAGAGCATACATTTTCTAAACCAAAGAATTTATCACTTCCGTCCGGCCGTATGGGACCTGCATTCTGTAACATCTTCACCAGTGGAGTAATTTCGGGCTCCGGCTCTACATCTTGACCCTTTCGACCTGTATTTCCATTTCTGTCCGTCTATACAAAAAGCCAATTGTCAGTAAATGATACCATTCAGAAACTCCTCGACCCTGACTGCGCCGGAACTTCTCCGTAATGATCTCAGACCCGCATCATTCCGCCACACCGTCAGGACGAAAGGAAAGAATTGACTAACAGCAGGCGAAAGCATTCGAATTATAGACGTCATGTTTCTGGTATTCCGACCTCGTCGGTGATTCTCGAGCTTGTCCTTTACCGTTCACGGTTCGCGCGGCGCGACAGAGAAACCCACAAGTATGAAGTGGTTATTTTGAGTTGTACTCATGCGCAAATGGTTTATTCGAATTCGAATAATTTGTGGCAGAATTGATCTTCATCTGCAGAAAGCAAAGCAAGCTTAAAAAGGAGGGTGATGAGATGGTTCGCTGATTCTAGTGAGTATTTGCACCAATGCTGCACATCAGAGGCGTAAAACGTGGGGTGGAAGCCTTGTCTCTTCAGGAGGTCAGATTTGTGGTAATTGATTGGAATAATTTACCAATAATGGATATTATATGTGAATGTGATCAAAAGATCCCAAGATCAAAGGATAGAAAAGAGTATATGTGAATTGAGATGTGTGTATTGTAGATCTTCTGAACCTGAACCTGAATCTGAATCCGAAGAAAGATTGACAAATAAATCTAGTGGAGACAATGTAATACCTAAGTTGAATGGGGTAAAGAGAAAGGCGTACCTGTCGGATGGACGTATGGATGGATGTATGGACGGAGTATGAAGAAGTTCCTAGGTCTGGTTTGATCGAGCCTTGGTCATGGCTTGGACTTGGATGCTTCGATGCTTGAAGGATGGGGAGGGAGGGAGGGCGCGCGCGCGAGAGAGAGAGAGACCATTGAATGACCTAAGCTTCTTTGGCTTCTACTCTACTCATCCGAGTCATCTTCCAAGTGAATTATAGATTATAAATTGATTCTGCTAATAATTAATATTGTAGGAAGAAATGAAAGGAGAGGCTAATAAGAGAGGAGATATATTGGGAATTATCAGATTGATCATCTACCATAGGTAGTAGGTAATTGTTCACAATCCAGTAGAATATCTAACTACGGAGTACCAAGGTAATCTTACAATGTCAATACATCAGCTAAAACTACTTACTCACTAGCATCGTAAAACCCCAAACTCTAACTCAAAGGTGGTAACGCTTACTGGTCGTTATAATAAGGGCTATTCTGATAGAATCTCTTCTTTAATACTGGCTTGATACGTGGGTGAAGACTACTAGGAAGATGCTATTTACATCGTGGTTGAGTAGACGCTTCTACCGAGTATTTGGTATACATACATAGGTATCGATCGTTTAGCAATTTAGATTGTGATTACAATGAATCCGATATCTTTCTTGATACATTCTAACCCGTCACACTCCTCTCAATTGACCGTTTCTTTTCCATGCTATTGTACCTGCACATTTAAATTAAAAGGGGAGGATGCTGAGGTGTCAATTTACCTTCCTCTAAGCTGTACCACAAGCCAAGCTTCCTTTGACGAGGAAGGAGTGAGAACGAAGGTCGAAGGAAGCTGCAACTTTGCAACACTCCCCGATGCAAGTCAAAAGCCACAGTCTACAATGAGCATCCGTCTACGGGTTCGTCCCACCAGAGAATATTATGAATATGCATCTCATCCCTTCAACACCCAATCAATTATATTCCTTCTGCATCTCTTGCTTCTGCAGGATCCAAACCGATACGATACGCCTTCGCATGCTCGCATAAAGGTACCTAGCACCTACAGTATTTACACTGACCTACTTGGCTTCCTTCTCAAAGCTTCTTTTCTCGTTTTCCCCCAATGGCCCAGATATCTATCTTCCGCAAGCAAGCCATCCAGCAAATTCCAAATCCCCATCTTTCCTCGTTTAAAACTCATCAATTCTCTCTCAACGGAGTACACTCCGCACCACATCTACACTGTATACTCCGTCCATAACTTGCCTCCAAACCAGACCTCGTGAAGAGTCAAGGATCAGGGTCATGCACCCGCTCACATCCCCTCCCACCACGTTATTTCGAGGTTCTGGTGGTTCCATTTGGGATCAGACTGTGGGGTCAATGACTAGCCATTCGAGCCAGTGAAAGACTTGGAGGGAAAATCTGGAGTCCAAAATTTCTCATTGGCTGCATCTTGAGCGTAGACTTGCACCAAGAAAGTTTTATGTATGAGAAGATGTGTGTGCACTCGGGAAAAAACCAATGTTACTCAATGGTTTGGAAGCCGGGGTTTCATTTAGATGGGGGTTATTTTTATACATTTGGGTATGTTGAAGTTTCGAATAATGGTGAGAATCAGCGATACAACTGAGAAGGTATTCACAATTCTCCAAGACACACTTGCGTACTTATTCAATGAAACATTGAATTATTCCTAGCAAGCAAGTATCCGCAATGACGAAGCCTCCCATGCAAGAACGGAGCTCGACAAAAACAACATCCAATCGCCTTTACCCCATCTAATTCTCCACGGCCCGGATATTTACAGTGGCATATGATCAAGAATTAGGATTGGGATAGAAACGACGATAATCCAACTGTTGGAGGACTTTCTCGAGCTGATTTTGATGCAGTACAATTTGATTTCTTACTTGTCGCATTCTTTGACTACCTACTTTTGATATTGCACATTCAAAGTATGGAATAGACGATCATCTTTCTCTGCTCGGCAAAAGGTTCCTTCAATAGAAATTCGGGAAACTCGCTAGAAGATTTCTAGAAAAGTGTTATGCAGCGACTATCAGCTATCAAACGGTTCCCTACCGCTGCATATCAAATCGACCGTCACATTCATCATACATATCTATCTAACTCCATACATCCAAGATCAGCAACGTCAAGTCAAATTTCGAAAACCTTTCATCATTCATTCCGACATTGTTCTTCTTCCGTCTTGAAAATAATCCGACTATCAACAAGTTCTAAAGTCGGACGCTACCCGCTTCCCCATTAACAACCCCCTAGTTCCTCGGGTATTCTACTCGTACTCCTTCATGTAAAACATTCCATCTTCTCACCGATTTTGTTCAACAAATCACACGAGTACATACAGAGTATGACTCGAAGTACTTATCCACAATTCTCCTCGCACCACTCACTACATTGCACAACCAAATACTCTTCAAGAAACCACAATTGCTTGGCACAAAACACCATCATACAACACCCACTCACACCCCAAGAAACAAGCATGAAAAACACCCAACAAAGCAGCTCGATTCAATCATTATTCACTCACTCACCCTCGCTCACTCACTCACTCACACATACATCAGTATCCTCGGTACCAAAAAACCCACCCCCTTCCCCCCTTCCACTCACTCATCCACCCATCCACTCACTCATCCACCCATCCATTTACCCATCCAAACCCTCCAAACCAACCACCGCAATACCACACCCATCGGCTCTCCTTCCTATTCCCACCTAGCCCCCACCACCACACATGCACCCACCTCAAAATTCACACTTCCACCCATCCAATCCAATATCCAATATCCATTTATCCCGCCAAAACAACAAGCAGTCATTCATTCGTAAACAAATAGTCTGCGATTGACAGTCCCGATACTTTGGTTCCTAGGTTGTTATACGAAGTACAACACACGCACATGTATAAAGTTTATGTAGGTAGGTAGTTAGTAGGCAGGTAGATGTGTGAGTACTGTAGTTCTGAAGAAATGCTATCTTGCTCCATAGCCGATAGATAGTGGATGGATGATGGTTATCTGTTTCTGAGAAGGGAAGGAAGGAATGTTGTGCACTAGATATCTAGATATCTAGGAATCTAGGTAGATAGGTATGAGGTACTTACTCATTTACTTTTCCATCATAACAAACATCAATTTTTGTAGCCTCACATTGTATTCTGTTCTGTATTGAGCCACAAACACACCATGGAAATCGAAATCGAAATCGAAATGGAATCCCCAGAAAAATATATCATAAGATAGTGAGGTGGGTAGGTAGTATTAATATATACATATTAATACATATCTACCTACTATCTACCAATATCCCAGATCTTTTATCCTCGTACATCTAGGTAGGTACATACAACTTTATACCCATATATCTATCTATCGAGGTATTTTGTAATCACCTCAGCTAGATCACAACAGGTATTTAAATAATACTCGACGTTTATATACAATATCCTGCCTAACCATATTCGAAATCTTCATCCCCTACAAGCAGCTGCAATAATCGAACAATCAAAAGAAAGGGGTTTATCTAAATTAACCATTTTCTTCTCGACTTGAGTTTTCAGAGGGCGAATTGATATTTTAACCAGTATAATACACACATACCTACAACCTCTCTTTTTGCGTTCACAATCTACGCCATTACAAGATAACAATATCAAACCAACGTTAATATTAACGTTATCTGACTGCCCACTACTGCTAGTGAAGTCTTGCATACATACATACAAGCATGAATGCATCATCTATTTCACATTCATACCTGTCCTATCCCCCTCCCCCCTTCTCATATTCTCCCAAAAAACATCGCTTAAGCCTCCCTTTCCCTATCATTTCCATCCATTCACCTATCGTATTTATCATGTTTCTCTCTCCGCCTCCCCATTTTATATCCCCATCCTGTACACACAAACCACTCTCTCCCATTTTGTTTTCCATCCCAAACCCGCTTCTTCATCCACCCTCTTCACCTCCGCCCCTATAGTAAAGACAAGTGCATGAACCAACGAAGAAGAGCAAAAGGCTCGCATTAAAACCACTAATCCCCATCCAATGCACCGCCATCCCGCTCCGAGAGAAAATCTGGAAAGATCCTCGGAAAAGCAAAAAAAAAAGTCGGCCCCCGACTAAACGCCATGCCACCCAGCTTCATCAATAAAGTTTTCTTTTTACAGCTTGCGTTGCCCTCCGCGCTCCAACTTCTCCGCTTCTTATCCGCCTCCGCCCCCAAATTATAAAAGGAAAGAGGGGAGGTCTAACGCCATGCAAAGTGAATGTCGCCTCCAGCCTGCCACCACCCCTCATATAATGTTGTATTGTAACAAGATGAAAAAGAAATATAAAAAAGGCATATTCGTATCTTCCCATAACGTAATTATCTCTCATTCGAGTTCGTGCGCCTATGCATGCATGCTTGAAAACCATTTATATCATTGCCCCATCTCATTTGTCCTAAGCAAAATTTACTAATCGATTTCTACCACTTCTCTTTTAACCGCCCTAGGGTTCATGGCTTGACCGGAAGATTTTCTCTTCAACATGTTCTGATTCATATTTAGATTCATGTTCATATTAGGAGTTGGCATCCGTTGTTGTCCTTGGCTACTTCCTTGACTTTGTGGATGATTCTGAGAGTTTGCTGGCGTGGGCAATTGTAATTGTCTTTGCTGCTGGAGGTGCGAAGGTGGTTGTCCTTGTGGCCCTACAGCTTGTAATTGCGTGTTCGTTTGCGACTGTTGCGATGGTTGAACTGCAAGGTCTTCTGGAGAGAGATCTCGCATCACTGCATCAATTTTTTCGAGACAGGTTTCAATGCCACGATTACGGCCAACTGCGCTAGTACGCATGCCCTTCCAGTCATCATCTCCTCGGGAATCCCACACTGACTTCAAACGGAGATCAATTTCATCATCCGGAACTGCGTCCCCTCTTACCCCCTTATCAGTCTTTTCTGTACGACGGACAAGCCACCATGGTTTTTGCTTGCGATGGCACATTTTGATTTCAAATGAGACTGTTCGTGGAGGCATATCGGGAGCGCTTGGCTTGAGAACATAACGTAGTCTGAACCACTCAAAAGCCCTGACGAACACGAATACTTCGCCTTTGTCATGAAGAGGGCCCCAGGCATTTTCTATTGTTTCAAAAGCCCGCAAAGAATATAGAGTTTGTGGAAGAAGAGTCGCAACAGCATCGAATCCACTCTTTGCAATATTCAAGACTTTGTCCAAAGAATCCAAAACACGTATGTGAGGGTTACCCATCTCCAACGTAAGTTTCATTTTGCCTTCAACTAATCCTAAGCTGACCACTGCTTTATATGAAAGAGGCGTTGTCCTGTCTGCGCTAGTGACCAATTCTGTTTGAGCTACTGGTGGCATCCCATACGAAAATGCAATTTCTTGTAGTGAAATCCTATCGCATTTAATAACATTTTCATGCTTACGAAGCACAGCAGTACAAGAGATAAGACGTTCAATCTGGAATAACCGCTCTGTCAGGGCGGGAATTATCGACTCGCCAACTTGAGACCGCAATCTAAAAGCAATCTCTCCTGTTTTAGGTTGAAAGGCAATATCTTTATCTATCTTTTCGTTCAAGACCGCAAGAGCTGGAATAGGTACTGCCATGCGTACAACCGTGACCAGTACTGTCTTCTGCTCAGGCTTAGGGACAATAGCCTGCGAATCATCAATCGGTGACTGAGATGGAAGATTTGAAATTGGCTCCAGCCCCTGAAAATTAAGCTTGAGGAAATCTGTAGCCCACGTTTTATGCGCTGTTGGTTTTGCCCTGGCTTGGAATAGTCCAGGAATATGTATCCAAATTGAAGGAAGTTTGACGGGTGAAGGTAGACCAGACTGTCGGACAGTATGACGAATGCGCCTATCATGCAGAGCTTTGAGATTAGTATATTGTGATATGAGACCTCCTGCAAAAATGTGTAGCGTAGACATAAATACGTAAGAGGGCGTTGGTGAGACGGCTTTAATGGGTATGTGGATAGAGGTTAAGACTTTAACGCCCGTCGATTGTTTGGATCTATCCTTATTAGTATGAAAATTATAGGCCCTTGAAGATACATACATTTGAAACAACCACCAACTTTCTCCACTCATACCCAGCGTAACAGCAACAAGCCAATCCTCTTGCCATCCAGGTCTCCTAAACCAGGTGATTTGCTTTGTGTCTTTCGGAATTTTGCGTTTCAGGTCTTCTCTAGATATCCCGGGATTTTCAGCCCTTCTCCATCCAACACTAGTGCCAAGGATAGTGAGCTCTTCCGAAATGGCTAAACATCGAAGATTCTCGATGTTGAAATGCGCGTCCATTGCAGGATCGCGATCCAGGCTGTTGAGCTTATTCTGTGACGAGGTTATTATTCGAGAGGCTGGACTGAAGATAAAGATTCCCGTGACCGGTTCTATAGTGATTGATACATGCTGTTTCTCCGTCAATTGCACACCGAGTACAGACTCCTTTGGCTCAGTCTTAGATGTGTGTAGTGACAAGGATGCCTCGCGATTCGCAAAGATAGGTTCGGCGGCCAATTTGCTGTGTGTTGAACCCAAGATGTGATTGACGTGCATTGCAATAACAGTCTTCAAGAGTTGTTCAGCCGAGATGTTGACCGTGTCGAATGGAATGTCCACATCTTTGACTTCTTTTGAATCTCGAAACCATCTTATAGAGAGTCGGCTTGTCGTTTTAGGATCATGGTACCCATCCTTCCTCCGTCCACTGTGAACTCCCAGAATAATCCAACTTCGTGGTCCATTTTTCTTGTATCTATCCAACCAATATTGGATGCATAAGGCGCGATGAAGTGGCTCAACTTTAACCCCATCAACCCAAGTACTTCTAGAAAGTTCAATTGCTTGTCTCCTAAATTCGCTGATCTTATGAGTTAACACCATTTCATGTAGATAACTATAACAGCCAGACAAGCCATCTTTTTCTAGTGCTGCATTGACTTTACTCTCTATGTGATATTGATGCCGGGGTGGTAATTCGCTAAGAGAGGGGGAAAATAAAAATCGAAAGTCAATGAACCAGAACTGCAACTCCTGGTTCTCATCTGCAACTGTCAAGTCGATTTCAAACTCGCCGGCTACTTTGAAGGTCACGCGACCAGACTTTATCGTATAGTTCTTAAATTGTAAGGGGATTTTGTCGTACTCGTGCAGATTCAAACGGATGGATAGTAAAGTATTGAGCTTTTCCAGGGATTTGAGTATCTCTTTGGGAGTCATTGGAGGTGGCGCAATGTATCCAAGCTAGTAAATGTTAGGAACAATCCCAAAACCTGAGCAAGAGACTTACGTCTGGCATCCAATTGGCTTTCCCAGTTGACAAAACTTCTACTGCAGTTTTTAAATCGGGCCTAGGTGAATCAACGTCGCATAGCTTCCTTTTGACTTCACTCATATGGTGTAGGATATACTGGTATAATCCTCGTTTCTGGCATAAATGGATGTTCAAGTCGATGATTTTGCTCACTTCTTCGGCGTTTCGACTCCAATTTAGTAGAACCAGTTGCTTGACCCAACGACTATGTTGAGTTTGGGCAAAATTGAGCAAGCTTACCTTCTTGTTCACATTATCGTTGGAGGTATCATCTTCTTTGGTGATATGGGGCGAGCTCGTATTGATCGCTGACTGGGGTATTGGCATATTCGCCAACTTCATGATCTCCTGCCTCAAGTCGTTATGCGTAGATTGTGCTAATCGATTCAGCAGTTCTGTTAGAGGTAAGAAGTTCGATGTGATATGTTCGACTTCAGGTGGAAGGTCGTGTATACGATCGAGAATGTCCTTTGGAATTGGTTCCCCTCCGGAGTTCTGTTGGTGCGCTGGGCCATCCGTAGAGTTGCCATTTATCCCATTACGAACCGCTGGACTGATCGGCGTCATACTCTGTTGAGGCTCAGATCGTGCCTGACTTTTATCTCGTCCCTTCTCGGAAGCCTTTGCTTCACCATTGGAACCGTTGAACTGTCGATCTCTGTCGTGGTTGGTATGCGACCCGTTCCTACTCGCACTGTCCATGATGACGCCGGGCATATTATCTCGCCCTTGCTGACCTACCAGACCTCCTCCTCCTTGCGGTACGCCGACAGCAGCCCCCTCTTCGACCTTTATACGATTTATCGGCTCTATCTTGGCTGTCGACACAGGATTTGAATATTCGGGACTTTGGAGAGGGGCCGTAGGAGCAAAGTCGCATGCGCTACCTCGGGGAATCTAGGAACATGTGCGCAATAAGCCTTACGAGCTCTTCCTAGCCGTCGAAGCTCGAATTCAGTATCTTAGATGTGGTGACAATTATCGATAGCTCTTTGTAGGGTTGGAAACGCACAGCGCGACCTTGCATGAAAGGATGGCTGGGTCTCTTTTATGGGTACGACTCGAGTTTTGTTGGAATCTTAGTAATTTGGAAGGGTCGAATGGATGATGTTTTGATATGCGACTGATTTTGAAGAAGGATTCTGAGGAGGATTATTTGTGGTTGAATAAGAAGTCTTTAATTTTCTTTAAAATCAATCGTCCCCTTCAATCCACTGTATGAAATCAAAGAAACAATCAAACAATCCGGCTGGCTTGCCTGGAATTGCGGACGGGATCGACTAGACCAAGTTGGGCACTCGTGAATTAAACTGGAAAGCCGATATCCAAGTCATGTGATCATCGATTAGGTACTGTTCTGATCGGTAGATTACCGGTGTTCTGGGTGAGAGGGAAGGGAAGGGCAATGATTGGTCGAGAGGAGGGAAGGGAAGGGAAGAAAGAAAAGCTTTGAGGGAAGGGAAGGGGAGGGAAGGGCAGAGAGGGCGAGAAAAGATAAACGATAAGAAAGCCTTGGAAGCTGGAGGTGGAAGTCTTTCTGGTGCAGTGGGTGTGGTGTCAGGAGAGAGTCCTGGGTACCGTACCTGGTCGTAATTACGGATGTGCTGCTTTGCTTCTCTTCGGTTTGCTGTTGCTGTTGCTGTTGCTGTTGCTGTTGCTGTTGCTGTTGCTGTTACTTTTACTCCATATAAATATATAAATATATACAAATCCAAAAAATCATTCGTTGTCTTGAACCTTCTTTACCCTTCTTGTCTTGTTTGCATGTCACAAATGACAACAGCTATTCATGATGAATGAGAAGACAATCTTTAAGATACGGTTGTGTATTCAACTGGTCAAGCAAATATGGTAGGTACCTAGGTATCCCAGAGGTCTTTAGATAGATGGGTGGGCAGTCGTCATTCCTTATTCTTATACTCTTATACTCTCATATTCTCATATTCTCATATTCTCATATTCTCATACTCTCATACTCTCATACTCTCTCTCTCTATTTTCCTTCCATCCTCCTCTCTTTTTCCTCTTCCTCTTCCTCTCCCTTTTCTCTCCCTCTTCTCTCCCTCTCCCACCTACAACTTTACACCTCTCTTTCCTTTCCTTGTCCTCCCCTCCCTCTTCTCCTTCGCCGCTCCATTCATATGAGCTCACTTGATTCAAAAGATGTTGAAAAGTGGTGCTCTGCTCAAATGCCGAATGCCCCTGTTTTATTTCCACCCAGGTTAAAGCGTCTATCTCGTCACTTGTGCTGGTCTCGAGAGATGTGCGGTACGGGTATCATCTTATTATGAATAGCTAACCTTTTCCTTTATTTTACCTTCACCTCCATTTTCATTAATGCATCATATATGTATGTATATATGTGTATGTATGTATGTAAGTAGGTAAGAAGATTCTTGGAATAAAAATCTTTCTTCTGTTCTTCTCATGCTTTTTTTCTCTCTCTCTCTCTCTCTCTCTCTTGTTCATACATTACATTATTTGCTAACTTTTATTCATTTCATCATTTCCAGTACCTAGTTTTCCTTTAAACAAAGGAAGATGTTCAAAATCATCTCAAACATTTCAGATATTAGTCCGGTTAGCATGATGTTCTAAACGCCTATCGCTATTAACTGGTCCCCCAAATTACCTTATCCAGCGCGCAATGGTCCCTCGCATCAGCGAACCCCAGCTTCGCCCCGAACCAGAACGCGCTCCTTCAAATAGTACAAAAATATCCTACAGATCTTATTCTTCATCTTTTGAAGCAGATGACGAGAGATCGAGTTCCGCTGATCACGATAGTATGGGCCCCGATATTGGTTCTGCACATAGAGATGTTCCTGCCCAGTATGCGGGTGAGGATACACGATTGACGAGTCGGAAAGAGTTGTCGGGATGGTACGCCTACGGATTTGCTGCAGAGGTTTTCGTCATTTGTGGTATTGGTACGTCTGAGGTATTTTCTTTGATCTTGCACCTGGGTTTTTGAAGCAAAATGGCCAAGTTGTTTGCAATTCGATGAGACCTATCCATCGAGGTTAAGGGGGCAGCATTGTCAGCCTTGCCTTTTGAACTCATCAATGACGGCATTGTACCTTCAAATATTCGAATTTCATTACAAAAGTTTAGGTTTTAAGCTTATTATAAACCGGATTTCCCGAGGCTAACAGATATGTTTCAGGATCCTTCATCCCGATTACTTTGGAACAATTGGCAAGAGAGAATGGAGTCCTACTTTCAGATCCAACACAACCATGCGGTTCGAGCTCTACACATCTACCACCCGGTTTACATCCAGGAAATGCAAAAGATTCACAATGTGTGATTTATCTTGGCGGACTACAGATAAATACTGCTAGTTTTGCTATGTATAGCTTCTCTCTCAGTGTTCTCTTCCAGGCGATATTGGTAGTTTCGATTAGCTGTGCTGCAGATCATGGGAATTATCGTAAACGACTGCTGTTATTGTTTGCATTCGCCGGATCTATAACGACTATGTTGTTTCTAACAGTTGTCCCGAAAGTTTACTTGTTAGGGGCTCTCTGGGCAATTATATCAAATACCTGCTTTGGGGCAAGTTTTGTGCTGTTAAATTCATTCCTCCCCCTACTTGTTCGACATCATCCGAAGACTCAATATGGCACGCCGGACTTTTCACCAGAGTTGCATCCTAGTTTTGTCGATGAATATCCTCCAGAACACTCCCTGAGTGAGCCTGAGCCTGAGGTATATGATGAAAGAAGTGCACTCCTATCACACAATAGGGCCCCTTCGGAAGCTCCTGACGTAACGGAACCTTTACCGCCATCTACGAATTACACTTCGATTGAGCTTCAATTGTCTACCCAAATTTCTTCGACTGGTATAGGAATCGGCTATAGTGCCGGTCTCTTTCTCCAATGCGTATCCATTATCATTATATGGTTGCTCAAAGGTACAACTTTCTCCCTGCGACTCGTATTATTTTTCATAGGATTATGGTGGTTCCTGTTCACGATTCCTGCCGCATTATGGCTTCGACCTAGACCAGGACCACCATTGCCACCCACGGGTAATGGGAATTCAAAGGGTTCAAGAAGTTGGTGGGCTTATACTATCTACGCTTGGTCATCTCTCTTCCGCACCGTAAAACTCGCCCGACGATTGAAAGATATAACACTTTTCTTGGCAGCGTGGTTCCTCCTCTCCGATGCCATTGCAACTGTTTCAGGGACAGCAGTTCTCTATGCTAAAACCCAACTTCGCATGGCACCCGAAGCACTTGGTCTCATTAATGTCATCGCGACTACAGCAGGCGTCCTAGGTGCATTCTCCTGGGCGGCTATTTCCCGCGCTCTCAAACTGAAACCCCATCAAACGATCCTCGCATGCATATGCATATTCGAGTTGATCCCCTTGTACGGTCTCTTGGGGTTTCTCCCCATTGTCAAACGATGGAACGTCATCGGTCTCCAACAACCTTGGGAAATGTATCCTCTCGGATTCATTTACGGGTTTGTCCTCGGTGGCTTGAGTAGTTATTGTCGCTCCCTCTTTGGTGAACTCATTCCCCCGGGATCCGAAGCAGCATTCTATGCTCTGTACGCTATTACAGATAAAGGATCTAGTGTGTTTGGTCCCGCAATTGTTGGAGCAATTGTCGATGGAACGGGGGAAATTAGACCTGCCTTTTGGTTTTTAGCGGTTCTAGTTGGATTGCCCGCTCCATTGATCTATTTTGTTAATGTAGAAAGGGGCAAGGAAGAAGGTGCAAGGCTGGCGGAAATTATTGAGGGCTTTAGAATTAAGGATGCCGAGATTGCGAGTGGAGAGCATAGTTCATCAGAGAGTATCGGTGAAGATGAGAGAGGAAGGGACAATAGAGAAATTAGTCCTTATGATGAGGAGAGAGAAGGAAGACGGAGAAATGATACATGACATGATTTTAGCGATGGCTTAGCGATTCAAGTTTGAGTTTTTGGGTAGCGGGAGAAATTTCTAGGTATATTGCGAGGGATTTTAAGGGTGATATGCGTGTCGTTAACACCGTTAACACCATCTTTCCTATTTGTAGGTTGTTGGATGGGATGCGTAATTTTAAATTTGGATTTGGATTTGGATTTGGATTTGAATTTGGATTTGGATTAAGAAGATGGAGATGGAAGATGAAGATATGGCATGATACAAGTGGCGTTTTTAACAGAATGAATGAACGAATGAATGAATGAGAATTTGACTAGAAATCTGATTGGACTGGTAGTGATTTATAGTCGAGTGCAGTGATTTATAGTCGAGTGCCTGACCATTTTGAAGGGAAATGAAATGAAACGATGATGCATTTTAATGAGTTTAGTTTGATACTGTGCATATGCACGGTGAGATGAAGTCGTAGGTATTCGAGAGCTTGAAGACGCATAGGTATTAAAACGAAAGAATAAGAGTGCAAAGTGTGGATTCAAGTGGAACTTTCAGGAGCGAGGAACTAGAAGGGGGAGGAGAAGGGATAAGTAAACCTTTGAATGACTGACGGATACCATAAATAGAGAAAGGAAGTCGTATACCAAGGAGACAGCCGACGCCGCATTGGCAATCTGCATGTTTATCTAATTGCGTGTATTTATTTCTCGTATGATGTTTTTTGATGCTCGAAGAGTATGTATGCAGGTAGGAGGTATGTCATGCATATCTCTCCTTGTCTTTTCTCTCCTCGTCTCTTCCTATCTCATCCCATCCTCTTATTCTTCTCCACGATATATCCATCCGATTTACTTTTTCGTCTATTAAGTTAAACCCTACACTTCCAATTAATACACAATCCCCTTATATTCTCCTTTCATTCCCATCGCTCATCTTCGGATGCTTTTGCGCCCGTGGACTTTATTGGGGCTATGATATTTGATACTTTAACCCAACGTTACAAAACGAGAGAGAGATAGAGATGGAGATAAGATAAAGATAGCAGACAGGATTTAGAAAGACAGACAACCAGTCAAGAAGGAAATGTGCAAGAAATCAGTGAATGAATTTGCGCATTCACTTCCTTTGGACTTCCTGCATTACATCAGCGCGAATCGAATCGGAAAACGTGAGTGAGTGAATGAATTGTGATGAATTGTAATGTACTGTGTATGATGTGTTCGGTCATGCGAAGAGACGAGTATCAGAAGAGAAGCGAAGGGGGAAAAATAAGTAGGCCGAGGAAAAACAAACAAGTTCATGCAAAGAGTAGATAGGATACCTCCTTCATATTCGCTAAGAAGGGTTTTGATAGTCGAATGCACAAGATTCTGTGCTAAAAGAGCTGTCTGTAAAATATTTTGGTATACATATACATGAATGAATAATAAGTACGTACAGATACAGGTGATCTTTCTCCTCTGTCCTACTTTCTAGAATTGAATAGATTTGAAAAAATCAAGTAAATGAATCGAGATGAAAGAAAAAATGAAATGAATCAAAGTGAAGCTAAGAAGAAAGACAACGCAAGGAAAATGCAAAGATGGTATCAATGTCGAATAACCTTTTTCCATTCGCCATCAAATGAAGGCAAAGGGAGACAACAAGGCAGGCGGGCGCAGGAAACAAGAGAGCAGGAATACATAGAACAATGGGTATGAAGCAATCTGTTAACTTTGACTTTTCGTGGGTATGTTTTCGCATGCGTCCGTTGCTCGTTTATCGTTACTTCGTTTCAAGGATTTGGGTGATAGAGGAGTGCTGTTTAAGTAGCAGAGGTGTTCCGGGATAGGGTTCGTATTTGACAATGATGTGGGTGTTGTATGTCTAACCCTTTTTCTTTCCCCTGTCTTATTTTCCTGTGAAAAATGGAATGGGAAGGATGAAAAGATGGAAAAATGAGGGCGAGGAGAAGGAGAAGGTAGAGTGTCTATTTTGCAACAGGCCACCAGCCTATTCGGATATAACTATCGATCATACCCTGCAACAATTCCTTTGTAATTTTTGGGTGTTCATACTTGAACCCGACTACCTTCTCAATCCTGCTCCCGTCCATGCTCAAATCGGTATCCTTCAACAATTCCTTCTCCATGAATGGTGTAAGAGGGCCCGGTCGTGTGATGCCCGCTTCCTCGAGAAGATCAGCCCAGGGACCAAGTACCTCTTCGTTGATATCATCCACAACACTATCCAAATTCATCTTTGCGAAAGTGCTAACGAGTTGTCCTTGGAACCCAGTTTTGATGCCAAAAATCTGACCAATAAGTTCGGCCATGGTTTTTTGTGATGTTTCCCCCTTGTCCACAACATTAAAAGTAGGAATGTTGCCCATAGATTTGACGTCCCAGTTTGGCTTTTCAGAGACGGCATACCATTCTGCGACCGCCCAAAGCGCTCTGCAAGTATCATTTATGTTTACTGTATTCACGCGCAAATCCTTCGTCCACAGAAATTTCATTTCTTCGTCAAGATGTTGATAGATGCGTGCCATTGTGAGGGCAGTAGAAACGAATTGTGAAGCATAGTCGCCGTATACGTGTGCCAAACGAACAATAATGAGGTTTAATCTAAATGAAGATGGTCGTTTAGTTATGAAAGGAAGCAAGGAGAATATAAGGCCTCTCTGGGCACCCCTCATGTGTCCCTTTCAGCCATGCAGAGTCGCAGATAAGAAATTTAAACTTACCCCTCAATCTTAGCCAGTGCCTCTTCGGCCTGCAGTTTAAAAGTCGCGATCTTACTCCAAGGCTTCAATTTGTCGCCTTCTTTACTTGGTGTCGAATCTGATTTATATACCATTCCTGTACTCAGTTCTACGAAAGCTTTGACGCCCCTCTTCGCAGCTTCTTTTCCAACCGCAATACTCAGCGCCAGCGAGCGAACCTTGTAGACCTCATCTTCTTGTGAATATCTTGTCTCTCCTCCACAGTTGAAGACGTAATCCCATTGTTTCCCATCCGCGCGATCGAAGATTCTCGGTAGCGATTCTAGAGAGGACGTGAAATGTTAGACCAATGGACAGACGGGATAGAAGGATTACAGAAGTATGAACATACGCTCTTTACTGGCATCCGCTTGCATGAATTTATCATTCGAACAAGCATCCGCAAACTCTGGTGCCAGCCATGCTAGCTGCGGGAGCACTTTATCCACAATCCGAACTTCAGATGCTAGATTGTTTTTATGAATGTGTAATGCGAGGAATCGTCCTATGTATCCGAGACCTCCGATGATGAGAACCGCTGGCTTCTCCGCCATGTTTGTGTATATCTCGCCTGGTGTTGGTGTTTGACTTTTGACGGTTTTCGGGAGAGGATCTTGGGACAACGAAAAAAGGGTTGTTGCGCAGAAAGGATGAGGTGTGGATTTGTGGATGAAGGTTTGAAGATATTATTGAAGAACGAGGTATTATGGTCTTCTTGTGGTCTGTGGTTATCCTTCAGAAGTATTTAATATGGAGATGTGATAGAATGATGGACACCAAGAGGATGGATTTCCCGTGTTCTTAAATTAAAGAAATATCAAAGTTTGTCTTGTCTGTAGATGGAGCATTCCAAGAAGATTTCAAGAAATATAATTTATTTAGAAAGTCGGTATGCGGTAGGGCTTTGGGTAAGGTCAATCTAATCTGTATGTGTGCGGCGAGGGGGGGGGGAGTGGAGGGAATCTTTCCCTTGTCTCGTTTTGATGGTGTGTGTGGTCTAGGTGGTCCTCGTTTTGTGTACGGAGTATATACCATATCCTACGTATGTACTATGTATATGCAGAAAACTGGAGATGAGAATTAGATACTACCTACGTACATAGTACGAAGAGATGCATTCTTTTTCTTTACACGTTAGGGACAAGTATCTTTATCAAAAGTAGGTCCTCGTTCTCGTTAATAGTATACGGAGTAGTATACCCATCTAGTCGTGAGGTCAACATCTGAGGTCCCTTGGACCCTTTTTTTGTCTTTTTGGTGAAGAAATACGCGGGTGTCTAATTACAATATGTCTATGATAGGGGGTTGCTCTACTCTCTCAACTTCTCTCATCACGCTCATTCCTCTTACTCCTCTCATTTCGTCCATATCCTCCCTTTTGCTTCTCCGTCTCTTCCTAGATAGCTATCTAGACACCTTGATATTACCCATGCATACTTTAGATCAATAACATAGTAGTGAATAAAGGAATAAGGTAATAAAATTCTAGGGCACCTTGGATTATGAACCACAACACACGAAGCCGGAGTATTTCTATCTCATTTTCTGAAGGATCGTCAGCTACGAAATGGATATGTATGCAGGCAGAGCGGCAGAGCAGAAACCAAGTGAAAATCTACGAATCAGGAAGGAGGAATTCATGAGTAGTGTAAAACCGTACATACTACCTAGTAATATAATCTAAGACAACATGTACGCCACAAGAAAAGGAAGTTATAGAAAATAGATGAATCAAGTATTGCGATCTGAAGATATACACGACATATTGAGATGCAGAACAGATTACCACAGATCTGGCAAGTTTAAGAGCGTTCTTTTGGGGCTGGGGAAGGGAGTCTATCCCTTCTTGTCAACGATCAAGTGGCATATATTGATCGATTTGCATCTGTAGTAGAATATAAGGTAAAACCAATGTGGGTAGTATGTACTTACTATGAGATGCAAGAAGCCTTGATCTCGGAAGTTCATGAAAACGTATATGGAAGTCAGTGTGTAAGTATATGTGTGTGTGTGTGTGTGTGTTTCGATGCAATGGCTAAAGGATGGGTAGTCCCGCAATTGGGATTTAACTTGGGCACTCTAATACACCCTGGGTCTCCAAGGTCTCCTTCTGCAGGAGCTACTCGATGTGATGTGATGAAATGATGAATTTTTTTTGAATGATGGGATGGAATGGATCATAGATGGAAGAGATGGCGAATAACCGAACGTTTACGTGCTTGCATGTTAGAAGATGGAGATGGAGTTAGATACGAGTACTCTTTACAGGAACATACCTCTATGATCTTCCTTATTTGTGGAACATGTCAAAATTATTAAAAGCTTAAAGGTGGATTTCTTCAAAGATTAATTGGCTACAACTGGATGATCCTCATTTGTATCCCCGTATATGTACTTTATATCAGGCAAGAGAGTTCTCGGAAGATGGCTTGAGGATGGTTAGAACTTAGAAGAGAGTCAAAAGGACTGAACTCATTTTGATTGTTATATCTTGATACTTCAGGGTTTCTTCACTCACAACGCGCCACGCATTGCGTATCATATGTTTCTGGTTCAGCTACCTAGGTAGTTTGATGTTTCTGAATCTTGGAATCTTTGATACTCTACTCTACTCTACTTGACTCTACTTGACTCTTATTAGTTCACACATATGCAAGTAGACTGCAATTAGACGATGTGATTACATATCTGTATACACTGCACTGCACAACGGTCTAGGATCTCAGCTCGACATGCCTCCAGAGTTCCATTGCAGGTTCTTCTAGAAGATTTAGACGATTGGAAGATTAGAGGATTTCCTATTAGAGATCATGTAGGTTAATGGGGTCCCAAAATTCCTGTCTAATCTTCCTTGTTAGTGAGCACACTATACGGATTTCAGAGTAGTTCAACTGTTTTACCCTTTCCAGCCCTTGCTCTTGTTCTTGTGCCTGTCAATTTCAATTTTTAGTTGCCGCTTCCTGCGGATGTTACCACTTTTAGTCTACCAAACTATTAAGACCCTGCTTGACCGACACCGACACCGACCCCTACTCTATACTCTTTACTGCACCCAAAAATCACTCCATTGATTTGATTTCAACCACCTGACTGATTAGATGGGTGGATCTCATTAGGAACAGTTGTCTTCCGAAAATATCATCAATTTGTTTGTTGCCACTTTTAAAATGGTAAAACACGATGGCAAGATGCTTGGAGAGAGATGCATCGAGAGGAAAGAAGATCGAGGGCGAACGTACCAATCTCCCCTCGACCGCCTCGATACAGTTATGGTTACATTGAGCTGCCGAGTAAAAGATAAAAACAGCAATAACAAGATTTCATCATGTCGAACCAACTTCGGTACTTTGCCAGTTTTCCTATAATCTATCCTTGCATCCTCGGGGCTCTTATTCCTACCCTCCAGTTCCGATGAAAAGCCTACAGTATGGGTAGAAGGGTTTTCGCTTTAATCTCCTATGCCGAGTAGGTCAGCAGTGGCCAGGGTTCGAGTACAGATAGGGGGGCCGAGGGGGGCATCCTCCGCGGCAAACATCATGGTGAAAGCCAAATCCGTACACAATCTAATTAGCACAGGCCTCATTCCCCCATACAACATGGCCACCTATCACGCACGCACAGGCAATGAGGTCCCAATTGTGAGATTCGATAGATCGAGAGGGGCAGTTCCTATAGTACTTTTCTTGTTCAGATCCACGATTCAAGATGGGCAATACAATAGAGTTCATATCCGCAATGCCGAACGCAACTCCGGGGTACTTGGCAAAGCGATCAGAAAAAAACACTTCAAGCGCCGACAATAACCTTTTTGTTATTCAAGCACCGCATCGAGCCTCTATAACTTGGCAAGATTCATAAGGCAAGAGGTTCAGATATTGTTATCATGTTCATTGGATATAGTTCCACCCGGTGGCCGGGCTCATGCAGGAACAATCGAGAAGAGAAAAGTTCTCGAAACTCATTCACCTGCATACATACAAGTAGTATGCAAGTCATCTTCAGTTCATTTAAACCACCTGGCACCTTCCTCAACCTTCCATCTCCTGCATAGAAATATCTGAAACGGAAATTGCAAAGGGGTTCGTCATCTCATCTCTCGTTGTGTTTGATTATTCCGACCACCTGCATATCACTGTTCCATCAAATCAAATGCGAATTTCTTCTTACAATTACATTTTTGAGTGCAACTACTTTTGCTCAGCGTCACATGCATATTAAAGTCGTGGCGCCTAAGTACCGACTTTTCTAGAAGGATTCGAGAATTTCCGAAAAAATATTTTGAATGCAGAAGATATGCACGGTAAATGAGGGCATGAACTGGGATGAATTTCTTCTTTGGAATACAAACACCAACACCTCATTTACGATGAGATTATATTTGAGACTCATGCATGAACAAATTTGCAACACGAGGTTTGATATCGTTTTTGGGGGCGGTGGTGACATTTGGAATTCCAAATCGTAGCACAAGCAGGGTTTCCCAATAGTTCGGATTGCAGTCCGGCAATGAAAAGCTTTAGGATTCGGCATCCAATCGGAACATTCGAATGTCTTGATGTGTTGATTCCATTTCGAATGTTGAATTGCGTTTGCGTTTAAATACTGAAAGCTTCCATCTAGTCTGCCAACCCGGACTAACGGATACCTTGACCACAAGTGGTGTGAATGTTTGACTAGACTCCCGAGTCTCATAGGGTATCATTGGCATCTTTTGATTTTTAATTGCTTTCACATTTGTCCTTGCATGAAGATAGGGGAGGAATCGTCGATTGAAATTCTTTCGCGAGCTATTTCTTTAATAGCATAGATTGAAAACGACATTGGCACTCTGCGGATGAAGATTCCGGACCTCAGTATCATTGTGCTTGACTTCAAAGAACAAGTTTGTTCGCTGTAACGTCAAAGAGTTGCCTAATCCAATATGTTACCATTCCGTCCCTTCCGTCTCATTCTAAACCTTGAGGTAAAGCCCTCTCTCCCAGCTACTTCGGTATAACCGTCCCATCAATTCACACATGTAGTCTCCTCGCCATGGTTTTCCCCAATTCTTTAACACTATGATATATCTATCTTGTGTATCCCACAAACACAAATAGCCATTCTCCTTAACCTCATCCTCCCCAATACCACGGCCCCGTATTCCTCAGCAGATACATATTATACGTGTATCCCATATTCGAATACAATGGATAAGAATACGCACTTGCAAATCCATACCCATCATATGATTACCAATATGGAGAATGAGTATTCCCATCCGGACATGAAGCTCCGGGTGAAAAATAATGAGAGGGGTAAAATCTTGCTTGGGGCTGAAATCGGCATTGAGTTTGAGCCTGAGCGTGAACTTACGATTGTGTACAATATCTTAAATCACATCTCTGCGGATCCATTATGTGAGCCCGTGAAATCTGAGCAACTTGTGCTACCTGCCTGGTCCACAGGGTATCCAATATTCCGAACTGCCGTCCAACAACATAGGGGTTTGAATGTCTGAAAGTCATTAGAAGTTTGAAAAGAGTTCAATAATTCAACATCTCAGATGATTTGAATGTTCTAATTGGTTTGGGAAATTATTAACTTTTTTGTTGGACTGCAGTCCGGACTGTTGGACACCCTGCTTGTGCCCTGCGCAGTATGTACCGGTAGATATACAATAAGAGCCCAGATATCCATATTCATATACACTAGTGTTGGTGGTAAATCTACCTATACTGATAAAATGCATACAGATATACTAAATCCAGATTTGAGATACCGATTCGATTGCGATTATCTCGGAGGGTAGGATTTGGAGGATATAGAATTTGTTTGGACGCGTGGGCTATGCGTTGGTAGGGAGGAAGGGGTAGGGATGGCGAGGGAGGAAGGTAAAGAGATGAGTAAGAGGATGGGAGGAAATTTTTGCTGAGAGGTGCGTGTAAGAGGTGCGTGTATGTATGGAGGTATTTGTTTAGATTTGATGTGATCTGTATGATGTGATCTAATTGCTTGAGAAGCCCTGTGTATATCTTTTTGAATCTGGGGGTTGAAAAAAGTAGATGCCCAAATGCTTCTGGATATTCTGTATCGTATTTTGTATGGTGAATATCATGAAACGACTTGAAGCCAGAAACTTGAAGGCATTTGATTTCAGTGTGACTGACGTTGAACTACGAATGTGAGGCTAAATTAACTTCCATACCGGCTATCCCTCCCCCCTCTCTTGATGATGATTCAGTGTCGGCTATAGATCGTCTCTGAATGTACCAGTTTGACTGGTGGATTGTAAAATCATATGGTATATCGTAGAAGGCGTTAAATAGTGAAAACAAATATTCACTTTTACTTTTCGACGATTATTCACAGATCATGCTCAAAGTTGACATATTCACCAACAGATGATATGACCTTCAATAGAACGAAAAAATTAGGACGTCGAAAATATGCACTCTTTCCAATATGCGAAATCAAATAAGACAATTAATATCGCGAATTCAAAATTTAAGGAGTATTCATTTTTGGCAAAAATCAAGTTAATGCAGGTAGGTATCATGATATAATATCCTCAAAGTATTATTCTAGTTAAGTGTAGGTATTGGATTTTCCGTACTCATAGAGATAACCGGATCAGCCTCGAATACAATTTAACCGATGTACAGAGTATCCATGGATCTCCACGACATCAATTCTGTCATTCAACTAATTTTGCACATTCACTGACTACTTACATACTGCTCTAAAATGAACTACGACTTTAGAGAGAATCTAATATAAGTGAGAGTCTAAAGGTCTCCTTGATCCTGTCAATAGACACGTCAAAAAGCTTCCATACTTTTCTTTCCTACAAGACCTGGTGTTGACCTTCTAAAACCTTTTCCATTGAATAGACTCACAATATCTATTCACCAAATCCTTCCGATGATTCTATACAAAAAGTCTGCAGCTAGAACAATACCGCTATCTCATTCCCTTCTGCTGAAACGAGATACCCAAAAGACAGCTAATCGGTAACATGCTTCCTTTCTCCCCACACGGTAAACACCACCACTATTTAATTCCATCAATTCATTTTCGAATCTTCATTGAGTCCTCCTTAGATTCTCCAGGCTTGAAATATTTGACCCCCAGGATATATGAACATGAATAGCATACTCCCTCTCAACCTCCCTTCGCTAGAAAGGCAGAAGTGCAAACGATGATTTCCTTTCCTTTTCCTCTCCAATCATCACTATTCCATATCAAAAGCATTCCATTCACAAGTCTAATCCATTCCACAACTCCACTTTAAACCCGCGATCCCGTTCCACCCACCCCCATCCTTCTCATCACCAAAAACTTCAAACTCCCACAACTTCCTCAAATCTCAACTAATTTACACATTTTCAACTGCAAAACGTTCCTCCTAGACCTCCAGACTCGCAAAAACAGAATGAGCTCCGCAGGGATCGAACCTGCAATCTTTTGATGGAGAGGACTGTTATTTCTAACAGAAGTCGAAGTCAAACGCGTTGCCATTGCGCCAGAAGCCCGAGCCGATTTGATTGGTAGGGGCGCTTATTTTTTGTGTATATTGTGTGCAATGAGAAAAACGGAAAGACGAAGATCAAATAGGTATAGTGGCATTTAGTGTAAGTGGAGATACGAGGTTGAGGTGTCGGAGTGGGAGAGGACAATACTGTTTTAGCACCGGCAAGAAAATAAGCGTGCCGAAGTTTTCTGTATATGAGGCACTTTCATGCTGTAAGAGATTGTAATAGATTAGATTGTACGATATAGTTGTATCCTAATGAATGGTCTTGTATGTCAAATTCGGGTTGTATAAAGATTTTGAAGTTCTTTAACATTGTGGAAGGGGATTTGGACAGAGGGGGTTAGCAGCTCACCCCCTTCCCTTAGCGATGTAAAGAAAATAGTGAGAGAAGGTGAAAAGATGATTAAAATTCTGGGGTAGATTTTCAAAACTATGTATGCCATGCATACAAGAAGTTTGGAAATCGAAAAGAGACATTTTGATATCGATGTAATGGGGATGTGTTTGGGGTTGACCCTTCGAATTCACGGGATGAACGAGCTGCACACCAAACAAAGCTTATGGACAATGGATGTTCTAAATGCTTTCAATGTTCCAATTCGAACATAACAATCGAATACTTATTGTTTACATTCGGGTTAGATAGTCAAATGCATTCAATGTTTCATGGCAGCACAATCATTCAAATATATATTCGAAAATTGTTTTTACGTGATTTATTTTGTTCATAGATCTCCCCCCCAGATGAATGTGTTTGTGAGAGCTCAAGTATTGTAACCAGCAGATAGACCTCGAGTAGAAATAATAGTATACAGAATAGGTGATTTAACGGAACTCAATTATACGGCTTTCAATAGCAAAGAATAAAATGCTCCTGTATTTTCATATCTCATGCAAACATAACACATGTCCCACTCCATTCATCTAAGCTTGCCCCATTCCAAAACGCTCTATATACCACACTTATCTACCTATCTGCCCCTTGTCTATCTATCTACCTCTTCATAGCATCCAACATTTCACCCCTAACCTTTCTTTCTTTGGCCCCCTCACTCAAGCTTCCCAAACTTCTCAAATCACCAACTACATCCTTTGCCTTTCCAAAATAAACCTCTTGTAACAGGTTTCTCATCTTCAACTCCATATCCTCGACAAGTCTTCCAATATTAGCTATATGTTCCGCATCATCTTGAATTGGTAAATCTGCTTCAATTTGTCGTGTCATGTTTCCGCTAAGATCCATTTCGCCGAGCTCATTGCCATTGGTAGAGAGGGAAAGAATTACGGTAGATGTGAGCTTGTAATGGGCGGTACGAGCACGGTCAACAGCTTCGAATACGTGAATGCTGTCCCAAGAACCGGCGGAGTTGGACGATGAAGGTGCAACTATGAATATCGAATTAGCTTCCATAATAAATGACCACCTCTCAATATACCAGATATGACGACTCAAAAAGTATCAAAAGAAATAATTCTCACCTTTCTTCAATAAAACCACACCCGCAAATCCATCATCCAAGTTCCAGAAATAAACACTACTAACACCACCCTCATAATATAACTCCCTGTAAACATCAAAAGCCTCATTTGCTCTAATCTCCATTTTTCTGACCCGTTCACTAGGAACAGCACCTTCTCCAGCTCCATCATTGTTTCCCTGATCATCAATACCACCAGGTGTTGTACCACCTACAGGTGTCTCGAATTCACCACTCCATGGGGAACGATAGCTATCGCCATCACGGTTATAATCGCAGAGAAGGTAATCGCGACCAGTTTTGCGACAGCGAGAAATAGTAAGAGGTTGATCGACAGAGCTCAGGAGATCTTCTGTCAAGGAGGGAACGAGGTCAATAAGAGAGTTTAAATGGGTGGTGGTATGTTTTGGGTTGAGACGGCGGAGGAGATCCCTGTAGAGGTTGATCAGTTGGTACGTTCCGTAAATGAGTTTTCATTCGCAGATTTCGAATCTTGGGCTAAGAAAAAGGAAGCAACAACTTACAGCGCGCTATCAAATTGATCGACTTCTGCCATTTTGAAGGTGGTTGTATGAAGTATGGAGCTTGCGTTGTCAATGTTGAAGATGGAGGGGTTGACGTTAGAGGTACGTTTTAGCGAAAGCAAGGGTCTGATTAACGATAACGACTATTTGATGTTCGCAGATTCTGAGGAAACTTTAGGTATGGATATTCATTAAAAAATGGTAAGTCGGGATATTTGCAAGCAACATTATTTATTGCATTGAGAAATTATGTATATGCTATTTTAGGCGTACATACATACAACATTGAGTCAAAAAGACCCAAGCAAGAAAAATCAGCTATATGCAACCCATCCATTCACCGTCCTCCTGTTTGGACCAAGTTCCCTCCATCAGAGTTTCACCCATACGCCAGAGTTTAACCACCACCCCTTTGAAAGTTTCCCGGACCAATGTAATAACTCCATTGTAATGAATCATGACCCATACTTATCGTACAATGCGAATGCAATGCAAACCCAGGAATCCATTTTACAAATCCAGTTCCGATTCAGAATCTTCAGCATAACCACTCGTTCTCTTAGCTCTTCTATCGCGTCTCCAAGGACTACCAATATCTTCGTCTGGACCCGGCAAGCTTGGGTGATCCTTTTCATATTGTACTCGAAAATCCCAAGCATCTTTATCCCATTTCGCCGACTTTACATTATATTCCGTAACAGCATCTTGATAAATCTGCTTTCGTTCGAGAGCCTTGTCAACATAAGGTTTCTTTACATCCTCTGGAGCTTCATTCCACATTTTCGTGATCATTTTCTTAACTTCGTTGGTGATCGGTTTACCTTTCCCTGGTCGTCGTCCTTCCTCGCATTTCCTTTTGGCTTCCTCCCATGTATCTTTACTATACATCTGATAGGAATTAGAGTGGTTCTTTGAAGGTTTCCAAGGTCGATCACCAAGCTTGGCATATATCGCATTCCATATTTCGATTTCATACGCTTCGAGACGAGCTTGCTTCGGATCCTTGGGCACTTCAATGGCCTCGGCCTTTCTCTTTGACGCCGACTCTTTGGGTGGAACAAGACGTTCTGGTATTTCTATTGGTCCAATGATAGACTCTAATACCTCAGAGGCTGCCCTGAGACCCGATATGTAAGCTCCATGAACAGTGGCTGGATGTGTACCACAAGTATGCTCTCCACCAAAGAAGAGATTGCCAACAGGCTTTGCCATAACCCCATAATCATCACTTTGAAAATTTGGTCCTGTGTAAGAGTAACTGCCGCGAGAGAATTGGTCTTGACCCCAACGAGTAACAATTGACTCTACAGGCATAGGAATATGATCACCGAAAACTCCTCGTAGAACGGTTGTAGCCTCAGTTACCAATTCTTCGTTTGAGGTCTTCTCTGTGTAAAATGCTGCATCGCCAGCCATGAGAGCTAACAGAGTTGGCACGCCGGAAGTGTTGGTGCAATTGAACCACTGAAAAAATCTTCCTCTGTGTGTGAAGTATTCTCCTTGTTCCAAACTGGACTTGTTGGGTGGATTACGAAGGGTCCCAAAGATATCTCGGCTTTGATCCCAGAAAGGCTCTTTGAAGACCAATATGACTTTATTGAGGATTCCATATCCAATTCGCTGAATTGCTCCGGTTTTCCATGAAGGTAATTTGGGTTCGAATTCGATCTTATTCTGCTTCAAAACACCCAGTGGGATAGTGGACACGATATAATTCGCCTCGATTGATTCGCCATTTTCACAGTCAATCCTACTTGAGGAAATAGTACCATGAGGATTATAACAAATGCGTTTTACTGCACTCTTCTTCTTCACATCCAGTAACCGGGGAAAATTCAATAGGCCTCGGGGGACTTGTTGGTAGCCCCCTGTGACCATTGTATGCTTGCCTTCCCATTCATTACCAGCATCTAGATCCCAGCCCCCCAGACTTAATTTATTGCAAGTAATCGCATTGCTATATTCAAGATTTGCAACATGCCAATTGATAAGTCTGAGATCGAGGGGTGTGAAATCAATCATTCTCATATATTGTCGAATCGCGTCATCGAATACCGACCCAAGTGTAGCATTCTCCTTACTCGTCGAGCGTTCAAGGTCGAGGTCAGATTCAATACCGATGCCATCCCTAAGCTGCCATCCAATCTCGCGAGCTTTGTAAGCAGCAGTATGCACGGCTGGAATTCCTGGCTCCAAATGAGCTCTGCCAGTGAGCCTATCCGATGCCACAGGCACCATTTCTTCGGCAGCAGATGACTTTTCACTTGCTGCAGACTGCGGGGTAATACTGGCTCTGTTCTCAACCTCGCTGATGGTTCTCGACCCATCCCCATTACCATCGCGTCCTGCTTCTAAATGGTCTCTATCACCATCTATAAGAGGCGGTAGTGGGATCTTAAATTTATACTCGCCAACACGATCGAGAATGTAATTGAAAAGCTTCTCGGCTTGTTGGTCGCGTTGGAGGTCAACTGGGTGGCCATCATCATATATCGTGGTATCCGGCTTCAACGGATGATAAGGTAGCGCCAGTTGTCCTCTTACGATGATATTCAAAGGATTGCCACGATCAAATCCAGTAATAATCATGCCACCCATTTCTGCGGTGTATCGACTACCAGGAAACAGAGTTGGATATTCTGGTCGTGATTCGAATTGACGGGAGTAAACTCTTCCACCAACTCGGTCTCTGCCTTCAACTATGACTACACGAGGTAATGCCTCACCCATTTCATGGAAACGATGTTCGAATTGGGCAAAGAGACTTTCTAATTGCCTAGCGCAACCTAAGCCAGACATACCAGCTCCAATGACAGCGACGGTGCGCCTAGGTCCAGTTCCTTGCATCTCGCTTTTATCTATCTTGGACTCTGGATTCTCGAGACAACCGTAGTTGATGTAACCACGCCTAGATAACCATTCGTGACAAACCCGAGCAGTTTCAAACCAACGGGCGTCTCTTGCACACCCAATAGCTTCATCTCTCATTACATGTATCGAGGGATTACGTGTCCAGAGCCGGAGTATTCCATTTCTGATATTGAGATACGTCGTGACCTGTTGATGGCTTATATGCCCACGTAACATATGATACTCCTCTGGATGTAGAGTGTATGGACTGAGTCGTGACGATTCTGCTGCAGCAATACATTGTCTGGCATATTCTGCTGGATGAACATCCGTAGGTATCGATTCTTTCGGACGTACATTATATGTCGGTCTATTTCCACTCAAGGATGACGCCTTTGTAACAACCCCGGAATTTTTATCGACTGTTGGAGAATTAGGATGGCTTGACAATGAGGACAGTGAAGAGGAACCATCATCATGATCTGTAGTCATTGAAGAGGCTAAAGAGTCTTGAGCGCTTTCGGGCTGTAGGTGTATGTTGCCATCCGACGCGTGTTTTAATTGGCGCGCAGCTCTACTAATAAAAGCCAATTAACATTGACAGCTCAATTGAGAACTTCAAAAGACAAGAGGAGATGATTCATCAATACATACTTCTTATCGCCGTTAGTACTAGGTTTAGGATCTTTGTTGACCCTTGCACGGGATTTGATATCAGACTGGAAATGATCAGTCGAGGTATCAACGATAATGGTATGCTCAAAGTTCTCAAAAGTAGGTTGCGTTTCAATGGTGTCGATTGTTGCATCGAAGCCAGGAGTAGATATAGTACCCGGGGTAGATGAATCTCTTCGGTTCTCCGTAGACTCAAATATGGCAAGATGGGAATCTAATTCTTGAAATCCCATCAATGTATCGTGACCCAAGTCATCTTGTTGACTTATCTGGGCATCCATCGTGGTTGCCATGCTGGGAGGTCCAAACCCGGTGACTTCTTCCTTGGAATGCTTTGATATAAAAGTATGTTCGGAGGCTCAGAGTTGCGAGACGACGAATTGCCCATGAACAGCCTCAAGCCACGAGCCGAAATAACCCCTTATTATTGTCCAATTCGATATAATGTACTCTCAAATATCTGTTCTGGTGGTGTTAGAACCTTCATATAACTAATATATAGAGATGTACGTCTTACACGTGGATTGGCCTCACCTCTATCATTCAACATATTGCGATGTATGTCGTACACCGCACCGAGTCTCATGTGTGTAATTCTCCCTATGTCATCAGGAGTCGCAGGCGAAAGTTATGAAAGTTTTTTTAGGACTCGAGGAGATTTGTTGATCGTTGTGTCGTACGATATGAATATATCATGTCTTATGAGATCTCGGGCGGGCAAAAGATGCGGATAGCGATCACGTGTGGTGTTTATTTAGTTTGGAACGAAGTTGACAAGGAACCCTAAAATTGCAAGAACTCCGATCTTATTGTAGCATTGCATTCCAGACCCCTAGAAGAGGAAGGTCAAGAGGATATGTTGCACATAGTTTCATTGTTGGCAAATATTTTGATTTAAGATTACTATTATTGAAGTAAGTTGGGACTTCTGCCCCTTTTTATCTTTTGTTCATGATATTTCTCATTGTTCATCATAATGTTACGTCGGGCAAACTACTCCTGCCCAACGAGTCCTTCTCTATAGCTACATCCATCATCCGATTCCCATTTATGATCGAGGTTGTGCATATAATGATTTGCTTCCGTGCTGTATGTCTCTTAGTAAATGATGTTGAAGTGTTTAGAGAATGATAACGGAATGCATACCTTCTTCTTGCTTCGCGATAAATCTCAAAGCTGCAATCTCTGTAAATGTTATTCCCCCTAGGAAAACAACAAAAACAGTCTTTTTCTCACCACTGCCCGTGAGAAGGGCTCTCGCTTTGACAGCTTTATCTTCCCCTTTTTGTACTTCGTCGAAGGTCTGGCCTCGCACATGCTTCAATGGTTCATCAAATCCTCGCCAGCCTTGAGAAGAGCCGCCAGTAGCCACACTCGCAGTATTATTCGCATTTCCTCCTCTGGTCATCGAAGTGATATATTGTTTTTGTAATATGCATTGAACAAGGCGTATCGAAAGTGGCGCGTAACCACTGTAGACATAAGCGATGTCATTTGGATCGTGCTC